CATTTAATTTGGCAATTTTTTTACATTTCTGCTACTTCCTAAAAAGACGTGGGTTGGGCTTTCTCATGATCTGACAATTGAACCCCGTTTCTCCATTCCTTTTGTTTCATGGGCCCTTTCGAGAAGTGGGCCGACATGTGTTTGTTTTTGGCCCAAACACCTGCTGGCTAGTCAAACAATCCCAGTGTTGGATTGTTTTCCCCCGGTATATGATGTGCACTATGATATGTACCTTCCTTGGTTACGTACCCCACATGTGGCGTTGGATTTTCCGGTGCATGGGCTCACTTAGTTACTATCACTTTACCGCACATGACGTTGGATTTTCTTGCGTGTGGTAAAGGTCTGGGCACCTTTGGTCGGGTGTCCTGTAGGCCCTTGGCAGGGCATTCTACGCACGTAGGACATGGTTTGGTTTGGCCACACATGGCATTAGATTTTCTGATGCGTGTGTCGTAGAGTGGTGGTCCATTCCTTAGCCACATGGTTATTGAGGAATCTTCCATGTGGTCTAGTCAAACAATCACCCGGTTGGATTGTTTTCCTCTGGTACATGATGATGGAATGGAGTGTGTTTATATATATACTTATCTAGGTAGGAAAATATGTCGACTCGTTTTCGGGTTGGGGTTTCTTAAGCATATGCATGGTGAGTGCTCTGCACAGGTGTGATCATTGTTATGATTTTTGGACAGTGTTATTTTGCAATTTACGCCTTGGATAGGGTATGGTTGTGGGAAAGAAATGATTTTGGAAATGTAATTTGAGTTTAGAGAAAACGATTAGTTTCAAAAGAGTTATGCATAGTTCATGTGAGTTTCTACACAGAAATGGTTTTGAGTTTGAATCATGGGAAGAAAGGAGTTTATAAAATATTTAGTTATATGCCTTGCGGAAATTGAAGTTAAGAATGGATCTAAATTTAATTGTTGGTTTTACTTGGACAATATATGTATGTTTCTGAATTGTGATCCTTTTTGTCATAAAAACTACGTGTGGCTTGATCCCTCACAAAGAGGTACATAGGTAGCCAGGGGTCTCACCCAGGTGCAGCTGCAAATTAAATTATTATTTTTGTTGAGTTTGGTTTTGAATATGTCGGTGGGCCTGAAGCCCGATTGAAACTTGGGTGAGATTAAATGCTTGTTTTTATTCCAGTTTTATTGAATGGATGTGGTTAAAGTGTGTTTGTGGCTATGACGGGTCTGAAACCCGTTTTGGAGTGATGATTGATTTTGGCCTGAGTCCTTAGAACTGCTTGAGATTGTACATAAATGGTTTTAATTGCACGTTATGACATCGTTTTCTAAAATGTGGGGGTTAGTATGTTGCTATTGTTTAAGTTTAAAACTTTGTTTTTGTTCACTCACAATTTTCTGTTTTGCGCTCCCCCAAAGCAGTAGTTGACGCGAACCGAGCAGTCAGACCGAGCCTTCCTCTTCTCGTGCCTCGGCTTAATTGTAGGACACTTGTTGTCCATTTCTTGAAACTTTTACTTTGGTTGTTTAACTAGAGATTTTCATACTACTTTGACATTCACTGCGTAGGGTTGAAGTTAAGGCCGGAGGCCTATTTTGAAATCAGTGTGTTGCTGCATTGTGTGTGTTGGGAGTTGGTATTTTGTTTCTGTTGTGTTTGACGGTTGGAAAAATTTGTTTAAGTCCATTTTTCAAGGGAGACTTTGCCGAAATTTCGGTAGAAGTCTCAACCCCTTTTTCCTTAGTTTCGAAGAAGGGGATGTTTTTAGTAAGTGCGCCCGACATTAGTTTGATGTCAGATGGGTAACAGGGTTCAACATTTATTCTGAGGTGGAATTCGAGTCAGGTCCTGTCAATTCGCCTCTCTCCATAGTTTACATACACAATTCCGACCACCACACACAGCTCCTACCGCCCAGTTCTTACCATAAATACATATCCGTACCCTTTTTTTAGCTATTGTTTCTTCTAAATTCATTCGACCTAACTTAGGCATCGGAGGGCCTTTGGCCAACACCCTCTGGGTGTGGTCTATTTACTTTGGTCTTTTTTTATAGGAAGTGAGGAGGAGAGAGAAGAAAGAGCAGAGAATCTAATTTTGATCTAAACATATGAGGTGTATGAAATGCTAGATGTAGATTTTGAAGAAGAGAAGCATATTTCAAAAGCAATACGGAAAAAATCTCAATTCGAAAACCATGGCCTCACCAAGTAGAAAATGCATTGTAAAAGTTTTTTCTCAAAATATTCTTAATGGGTGAAGTTGATTTCAAAAATAGAAGTAGATTTCAAGAGCTATTTGAAAATCTCATTTTAAAAACCACAAACACTCTCACAGAGAAAATGGCAGAGCTAAAAGATGCATCTCAACAATCCAGAAATGAAAGTGTTGGATGTTCTCTACCATTAGCCACCCTTTTGATAAATTAGGGCATCACAAAATAAAGACACCTATGAGCTAATGACAAGAGCTAGAATTGGACAAAAAAGGTTAAGACAGAAAAACTACAGTTGGCAACAGAGGCAGGCTCACGTGAAAAATAAATGATGTGGTAGTAACACGTGACAAATAATGATGACTAGTCATGCAAAAGAGAACGCTACAATGCATGCAATGCAATCAAACACGAATTACCTTCAATGAGCTTTGAAAGCATGAATCCATCATGAAGTTGATCTCAGCCATAATAGATTATTTTAGCGCTATCCTAGATTAGTCTAGCTTCTTGAGCTTCTTTGGAGAAGGGATTTGAATTTGAGATGCATATTTTAACAGTGAGAACATATGTACTATTAGACTAAGTACTTATTGGCATCTATGCCATTTTTTAAGAGAACTATCTTTGTATGTTTGAGTATAAATGTGAATTATGTCCCTAGTCTAGATAAAACAATTTTAATATTAAATTTAAAAATTAAGGGCAATATAGTAATTAGCAAACCCTTAATCTTCACTCACCCACTTTTACCCTCCTAGACTAGACTCAACTGTGGCTCTATTCTAATTTCTACCTTTATGTGAATTAATAGTCCCAACAAAATTTTTTTAAAATTTTTTTAAAAAACAAAAGGGATTGTCCAATATAGATCCCTACATTTTCTATTTTCTAGACATATACCCATCACTCTATAAATCTATGTGTAAAATTCAATTTCAAATTTAAATGACTAGTAGCATATAAGAGGTCGTAGTATTTCTATATTTTTACATCATTGCCACTAAACTTCATATTTTATTTATAATTTATTTCAAGCATTTCATTAACTGCCATAATTGTAATTAATATACTCCCTATTAATAGCATATCAATCACCCCATTTCTTTTAGTTGTCATTCTCTCTCACATCTCGCCCCCTAAAATTACCACCAAAAAAAAAAAAAAACTGTAAATTACATATCCAATAATGTACCTATGAAAAATATAATATAAATATATACATATAAAATATAGGTATATTATTTACAAAAAAAAAAAAACAAAGTCAGTTACTTTGTAATTGCGTATATTTTTCATAATTAAAAATAGGTACACAGTAATTTATATAAAATATAGGTACATTATTTACCCACATGTAAATTATTTTACAATATACATGTAAATATGTATAGGTACATTATTTGGAATAGATAATTATGTACATTTTTCATACTAGGTAAATTATGTTTTTCATAAAACAAACAAGTAATAGGTACATTATTTTTTCAACATAATTAGTATGTATGGTTTTATTCATAAACAATTATAAAGTGGATTATTAGTCATGTATAATTCATAAAAAGAAAATAACATAAACATTTTATTAAACAAACCGATTACC